CAAATGACTCAAACTCAAGCCAATAGCATGTACAGCATATGTCGGTTCACGATATTTTTTTCACTGTTCTTTCACTTACTATACTACGTCTGTTTATTATAAACACAGTTTTTGCTTTAGATGAAATGAAAACTTTTTCGCTCCTCTTCTTTAAAATGGATTTATTTCATAGATACATCCATATACTGGTTAAGTTCCCATAGGTATGAGCTTATTCTCTGAAACCTAAGAATAGAACGAAGCTGGGGGTTCCAAGTTCCCAAGTCAATTGCCATCATCGATAAACGCCTGAACACCTCAATTGTTTGTCGATTCATTCTGGAATAGTCAGGTCATCGCCTAGCAGCTGACTAAAAAAGAGTACCGCCCGATACATCTGACTATGATGAATGGGTATCATCCAGATGTCATTCTATTAAATCTCAACTACGAGACTGTAATTGAGAGCCAACATCTAGAGCTATCTCTATCTTATGCACTTCTGATTCGCATCGTTAGGATGGATTTCAGTTGTGGTGTTTGGAATGGGCTTAAATGCTGTTTAAGCTTGATTAATGACTCCAGCCACGCCAAGCTCCCTCTCTCATCGTTTCTCATTCATCATTCGGTCCCACTTCCAGTAGTAGGTCATTTTTCATGCGTAGAGGCCTAGCGAGATTTCTACAAGTCACCGATAACACTCACAGCCTCATTTCTCGAAATTTCCACAGAATCCCCTCCTGCCCTGATTCCTTTCATACGGTATCCTTTTTGAGGTAGTTTTGTAGCACCTAGTCATTGCTAATGTTGATTTTTATATCTTATTTGTTACCATTTCGTGTACGAATCAGTTCAATTATTTGGTACTATTAGTTGGAATTATTTGGAATTATTAGTTGGAATTGTTTGTGAATTTTGAATCGGCTGTTGTTTACACAAAGGTTTTTACTAATGATTCCTGCCAATGACATTAAATGCTTGATTCCATTCCCACTTTCACTATTCCAAATTTAGGAGACCTTTCTACCACCCCTCCAGGAAAAAGTACAGAAGGATAAAGTACAAAGTGTCTGGGCGTTAGTCACTCCCATTTTGAATGCGCTCGGGCATTTGATTTCCATTCAAAATCAAAATCGTAGTGGCTCCTTGAATGCTTATGTGGCCTAAATGATGAATTGCAGTGTCCAGCCGGTGTACGAACCAGCGATTTTTATCATCCTATACGAGCCTGGTGCCAAGTCACTAAGGGGTGAAAGACTTCGGCTGACCTGAGCGGGTGTCGGTTCAGGGTTCTATTTCTGGACCATGCATGCGGAAGTGCGTCACTCGCCGCTACGCGACCTCTGTTCACTAGCAAACATGGATCTTATAAGTAGTATTGTTTGCTAATAAATGATAATTTTTAGTGGTGGGCATAAATGGGATCACTCCTGTCACCTGAGGTGAGGTTGCATCGTTCACACTTGTCTACATATCTCAGCCAGCGTCCAATTCTCTTGCCATTCTTTTTGAATCATCATGTCGGATCAACCAGTAGGTTCCCTACTAATGGTATTTCGAAGATATTTTGGATGGTTCGTTCCTCGTGCCCGGATTGGCTTTTCGGGAGATTTTCGAAAAGCTGACGAACGAATTCAGCAAGCAGGTTGACCTCTTACAAATAATATCATGTTATTATTGATTATCCTTCCCGGTAGTGAAGTTGTCGTAGAGCTATCCTTAACACTACTATATGCTTGGGGAAGCTGTTTTAATGCTTATGTAGCCCACTTGAACGAGTAATCCATTACTCAGATAGCTTGTTATTCGGCAATGTCGTCGGCCATCCGTGAGAATGGCATGGACTGACATATTGTGTGGCCCTTCTATTCAGCCTACGACATTGACCATGATTTACAATCCATTTTCCATTGTCTACTTCATTTCTGAATGAATACAATTGTCACCAGTGTTTTCTTCTACCTTCACTTTGTCGCCTTTTCCCTATCAGTTTGCTTTTCATTATTTTCAAGATGTTTGCTTGAATTTTGTTCCAAAAGATGCTCCTTTTGCTCACCCGTCATCTGTAGATGATATTTTTGAAGGTCATTTATCCCTGGCACCTAATCAGACACATTTTGAATTATTCTGGATAAATTTCGCTGAGTAAACCAGGGAAAATGGCTGAAGTGCTATGACCCCGACTGAACCAACTGCCCACTATGAACCCGGTGAAGTCTCAGGCTAACTCTTCATGGAAGGCCACCAATCACGCTGGCCTATTCATCTTGCGGCTTGCTGGGACTTGGAAATCCATCATCAGTTCCATGAGAAACGACAGATTAGAAATGCGATAAGCATTACAGGAAACAACTCAAGCGTTTCCTTTCCCGTGTCCCTCCCCTTTGAGATACCAGAAGGGTCATCGGATTCTTTTAACGTGAATTATGAGTTTGGGATGATGACCGTAGCACATGATATGGACGAGTGTATGAGCTGGATAAGAGACTTATCGGTGGCCGTACTAACCAGAGGTATCGTCGGCTATCCCTGTATGTTCGATTCATAGTGTGTCTCGTTATTCATGCACTGCGGCTGCCCTATTATCTTCGGTCCTACTCTTCTATGCGCTAATTACGTTCCCCGTTACCCCCATGTGAATCCTACTATTTCCCTAGAATAAAGTCACCTTTTGCATTAACTCGTAGGCCGCATTAGTCCCCTCCCCCATTCTTCCTTACTCTCCTAAATCTTTCTTGTCCATCACTGGTTTTGAGCTCTTCGAGTAACAATTTTCTTAATTATTTGCGGTTTTTGCTTTCCAAAACCCTATTATTATACAATATTACACATTATCATATGTTATCACATATTGAAATTTTATCGTAAAACTGAGCTCGCTATACTGCTCTTCCGCCCGTGGCATAGCTGTAACCTCTGGTTGATCCACATCAAATACTGAAGGGTAGATTGGCTACGCCGCTGTCGTAGTCACTCAGTTTTCTTCAGCCATCTGCAAATGCAATTTACTTTCCTAAGCATCCGCGGACCTTCTCTTACGTCCTTTTTCAAGACTTAATCATTTCTTTCAATGGTCGATTCGTTATTTTTAACTTTGACACTAGACAAAGAAATGGCCTCTGACGCCGAGAATGGCCAGCTATCGCTTCACACCATAAATTGAATAGCTTTTAGCATCTTTTTCCCATCATTTCTAGCGAGACTAGCTCACATTTCATTTGACGTCGTTTTACAGTAGTGCCATAAAGTGGTCCATAGAGCCACAGATGTGAAAACTGCAGCATGAACTTTTTCTTGAATCGTTGAGATCGTGCCTCGGCCTCGATCACTCTCGCTGCATGGTTATACATATTGAAAGGCCTACATCCATGGTAGTCTGAATGAGGTTACTATGGCTAAAAACCTCATTTTTTTTCTTCTCTACGTATTTGTCTACCTCTTGTAGAGTTGTATTAATTTCATTCTCGAAAATAATGCCGAGATTTACTGACAGCCACACAGGGACATTGGTCCAGAAACTGTTCAAGTCTGCCCTCCTGGTTGTATATTAACGTTCCTAGTTTAGCCTTTCTGGCAACTTATTGTCATATATGGCCTTCTCCGGGGCGTTTGTGCTACCTTTTTGGATATCTAAGTAGCTCTGTTGAAGGAAATGATGGCAGCAGTTATCAAGAAACATTTGAGAAACGTCTGTAACTAACAAAAACAGGCGTCGCTGCAAATAACCAACGCCAATAACTAACCAAATCTAATGGATTTGTAGTTTTCATTTTTACAACTTGATCTGATCTCTGAATCATTTTGTCAGAGAGTGATTATGATTGACAAGGTTCAAGAAATGCCCCGGTCATGTTTCTTTATCATTCGTTCACGACTCCACTGTTCCTATTGAGCTCAGACTTACCAATTCAAGACTTTTGTGGGATCTGTATAGAAGAATTTTCCCGAGAATTGAAACATTGCAAGAATAAGAGAAATCCCTCCTGTGAACGGCACTGTATGAGGGTCCCAGAATGAATTTGGATACGATCTCGTTCATTCGAGTTCTATCACTATGACCGCTGTCAACCGTGTGGTCCAGGCTTTTAACTGATTAGGCAAATTGTGAAGTTTTATCGATTTGATAACAACTGTTGTACGCTCCACTGGGTAAAATTATCAAACCCTTCATCCATCTCATTCCATCAAGACATGAGCCTTCCCGCAAGGTGGTCCTGTTAATCCGATAATAGCCAGGACCATATAAAAAATTTATTGAAAAAATGATCGGAATGGAAACGATAGCTGGAATGATGCGATCTGCTCTACACGCCAAAATTTATTTATTTATTTATTTATTGGCATCTTTGATTTGTTGAAGAAAATTGCTTGTAGTTAATCACCCACGATCGTCTCCTCGCCCTAATCTTCCCAACCGAATCTCAAACTAATTAACTCACCTCCAAGAATTGGATTCTTGCCAAATGGACAGCAGAAAACAATGTGTTAAGCAATCCTTCCGGCTGCTGCGAGCCTATACATAGTTCATTGCATGGAACTTCTCATTAAATATGAGAACTTATACGTATGCACAATCTTTAAGCAACTAGTAACGTTGTTCTTCTTCTCTCCTGCTTTCCTGTGCTACCACCAGGATTCAAGAAGTTTTATTTTGATGGGTCTGACTGAATTGTACCGTATTTGTCAATAATTTTTTTGGTCTCACTCAAAAATTCGGACTTTAGACGATTCGAATGCCTAACAGTGTTTTACTTGGGCTATCCTATTCCCAAGTTGATCTTTGCCTCGCTTGGAAGTAGAAAGATTAGACGAATTGAATAAGGTATCTATCGTCCTCAGTGATATTACATGATAATGTAGTATACTGAATGATAATGTTGCACACGCAATCGTTATTGACCATAATTTTTTCGAATTTCTCGTGTAGTACGACTACAATGTGTGATCAGTCAAGCCTCAAACTTTAAGGCAATTGACATTCATTTTCAGAGACGAGCTTCTTCGCATCGCTATCCTTCAGTAGACAAACCGCTGCCATGCGGTGTCTTCTTTTATTAGCTCTATTTCAAGTCGTTCATTCAGTATTGGACGCATCTTGGTGGTAAGTCGGCTATCGCTTTGATTACTTCCACAGATATCTTTGAACAATAAGAAGCATTCACAACATTCGACCTCTGGCTAGTTGAACAGCTGAAATCCCAACAGCTTTCTCTTTCTTTGTCTTCATTTCTTTCTTAAAATGAATAATCTTCCTTAATTTCAAATATTCACTCAACTCCTTCCTCATACCCTTCTCATTTCCATTTTTTCGCGTTAAATATGATCATTTTTAGGTCATCGGTTGCCCAGCTTTCCACTTCATTAGCCGGCCAAAGTGCACGGCCGGTGTGCTCACTACGTGGGCTTTCACCAGGCCAGGTAAGTAGATGCCTTTTGGGTTATTAACAGTTTTCTGTGTCATCCTCAATTTTTTGCAATTTATATTATAGGCAAGAATATGCGATCTTTTCAAAGACCATATGCCAGCCGTTGGTCAGGGAGCACAAACTGCCATCCAGGTACTTGCAGTCGTATATACATGACAGATTGAATTTTTTAAAAATCGATCTATCTGTACCAAAGCAGTAAAATGTATGGTAAAATAAAAGGAAATGGTAGGGGCGTTGAAAAATTCCATCCTCAACAAGAGGTTTTATTTCTCCCATCGATAACTATTTTTAAACTTCCGGCACCATATGATCGGCTTAGGGTGAGAAATGGTTTGAGAAAGTATACAGAATGGTTTTCGCGTGATTTATTTCTTTTATCTATTTATAAGATGATAAGTGCAAAAAAGCCATTCTTCAACATAAACATGGAATCACTTCGGAATAATTTCGACCACAGTTTTGGTTACCTGGAGGGCTGCATAGGTGGAACCGAACTGTGGCATCTATGAAAACAGAGAAAATTACCTGTTGGAACCTCCTAAAATAGTTGATGAATACAGAAGTGACCAGGACAGCCAAAGGAAGGTACTGAGTGGGACCAGATCCTACCACAATGAAGCAACCAAACTAAGTACTGCTAGATAGAATAGTTCAACACTGTTAGAACAGAGTAGAATAATATTTTTGAGATAGATGCCTCATTTTAA